GTATGCCTCTCCAGAAGCTGACTACTGGAAGGATGTAGTCTGTAGCGAGATGGATTCCATCATGGCTAACGGGACATGGGAGATCACTGGGCGTCCCTATGGTTGCAAACCATTGGGATGTAAGTGGGTGTTCAAGAAAAAGCTTAGGCCCGATGGTACGATTGAAAAGTACAAGGCCAGGCTTGTGGCCAAGGGCTATGACCAGAAAGAAGAGGAAGATTTCTTCGATACTTATTCACTTGTGGCTAGACTGACCACCATTCGAGTATTACTCTCATTGGCGGCCTCACATGGTCTTCTCGTCCATCAAATGGATGTTAAGACGACTTTTCTAAATGGAGAGCTAAATGAGGAAATCTACATGCAACAGCCAGATGGCTTTGTGACAGATGGTCAGGAAAGGAAGGTGTGTAAGTTGCTGAAATCTTTATATGGCCTGAAGCAAGCACCTAAGCAATGGCATGATAAGTTCAATACAACTCTGACATCTGTTGGTTTCGTTGTTAATGAGGCTGACAAATGTGTATACTATCGCCATGGTGGGGGCGAAGGAGTTATACTGTGCTTGTATGTTGATGACATACTGATATTCGGAACAAACCTCAAAGTCATTGAGGAGGTCAAATCATTTCTGTCTCAGAACTTTGAGATGAAGGACCTTGGTGTGGCTGATGTTATCTTGAACATCAAGCTACTAAGAGATAATGAGGGTGGGATCACACTTCTGCAATCCCATTATGTTGAGAAGGTGTTGAGTCGTTTTGGATATTCGGACTGCACACCATCTCAAGCACCATATGATCCTAGCGTGTTGATTCAAAAGTCCAAAGGCATGGCTAAAGATCAATTGAGATACTCTCAAATCATTGGTTCACTGATGTACCTAGCAAGCGCAACGAGGCCTGACATCGCGTTTGCTGTGAGCAAACTGAGCCGGTTTGTTTCCAAACCGGGTGATGTACATTGGCATGCTGTTGAAAGAGTTATGCGCTATCTGAAAGATACTATGAACTATGGACTTCACTATACCGGAGACCTGTCGGTACTTGAAGGGTATAGTGATGCGAATTGGATCTCTGATGCTGATGAGATGAAGGCCACAACTGGGTATATGTTTACTCTTGGAGGTGGCGCTGTTTCCTGAAAGTCTTGCAAGCAAACGATCTTAACGAGATCGACAATGGAAGCAGAATTAACAGCATTAGACACTTCTGGTGTTGAAGCAGGATGGCTTCGAGATCTTTTGATGGACTTGCCACTGGTTGATAAACCGGTTCCGGCTATCCTTATGAACTGTGACAATCAGACTGTCATCACCAAGGTGAAGAGTTCAAAGGACAACATGAAGTCCAACAAACACATAAGAATGAGATTAAAAGTTGTCAGAAAGTTAAGAAACTCCGGAGTGATAGCGCTGGACTATGTTCATACGGCTAAGAATCTGGCAGATCCCTTTACGAAAGGGCTATCACGTGTAGTGATAGATAGTGCATCGAGGAAGATGGGTATGAGACCCACATGAGTTGCCATGGTGATAACCCAACCTATGTGATCGGAGATCTCGTGAAGTAGGACCTGGGAAACAAGCCAGTGGTGAACTGAGGAGAGTAACTTTACTAACCCGCTCCATTGGAGATGCAATACTCTCGTAAACTGTATGGAAGGATGACTACTGTCTTAATGTGTTCCAAGGCTGATATGTATAAGCAAGATGCTATCCTACAAAGCGATCTTTGGAGGAACAAACCTATGTGAGCCCGACTGCTAGTCACAGTCTATGGGATTGGGGTGATCTCTAGTAAGCTCATGAATAGGCCAGGAGTGTGACTTATATGCTCCACCCGAGGGGTCAGCCTTCGGCAGCCCAGTACTAGTAAGACATGTGGTGAAACTTCTTTACGCCAAACTGACAATTCAAGGTATAGTCCATTGTTCAGTTGTGAAGGAGTGTAGCTACTTGCTCTAGGTGAAGCTCAACCTTAACAGGTCTTCACTGAAACACTAGTATATCAAAACAACGTTTGGAACAAAGGACAAAGTGGGCCCCTGAGATCTGGTGGGGGATTGTTGAAATGTGAGATGGGCCTAGAGCCCATATGACAATTTCAGATTTGATCTCTAAGGGCCCATGTAGGTGGCATGACAAGGTGGTGGAAAGTTTAGTCCCACCATGCTAGTGGAAGGAAAGTTGGAGTGGTTTATAAGGGTGGCTCTTCTACATGCTATTGGAGCTTGAGAAGAAAAGAGGCCCTCGCGCGCTCCTCCTCCGCCGCCCGCCTCGTCACGACGCGCCGCGGGTTGCGGGTTGCGGGTTGCGGGAATGAGCCGAGCCGAGCTCACACCTATGCGCTTATTTTTGCCAGTCACTAACGGAGAGGTCCTGACAGCAGGGCCACGATCCGAGACGTCGGATCGTGGGCTGTCACGGACTCGGACGTGGGTCAAGCCCACGTCTCTCCACGCGGCTGCGTCTATATAAGTGTGTGGTGTCCCCTAACCCTAGCCGCCACGAACAGATCACATCTGCTCACGTGCACGCCCACCGTCGTTCCTTTGCTGCTGCTGCCGCCGGTGACTCCATCCCGTCCGCCGCGTACACGGTCGACGGGAGAGCGGGTCTCCGAAACCACACCCTTCTGGTTCCTGTACGGGGTGAGGGGCGAATAGGTTTTTGGGCAGCGATTACGCGACTGCTCGCTTCCGATCGTCTACTTCCTCTACGTCCGCGTCGCCTTCATCATCACCATGTCCACCGACCCCGACCGTGCCGCCGCCGAGAAAGCTGAAGCCGACAAGAAGGCCGCCGAGGACGCCGCTGCTGCCACCAAAGCCGCGGCCTCTGCATGGCCTACTGGAGGGTATAACTCGTTTATCCCGTTCCTGATTAATTTCATATTAGCAGTACTAGCAGTATGTGTAGATTTGTCTACTGTTTGCTTAGTACGTGGATGTTTAGATCAAAGTCAGTACGTTATCAACTTAGTCAATGCCATGCTAGTGATTTACTCGTGGATTAATTTAATCGAGAAATTGCCTATTTACTCAACATGAGGCAGGGTAGGGGGAGAGGAGGGCAGTGGCGCGACCGAACGGGAAGAGGGGCGGCGGCGGCGGCTGGGAGAAAAGCGGAGAGACCACGACTCCACGAGAGCTAGGGCCGAGGGAGTTTGACCAATCAAGAGACGTCGGATGCGTGAGATTTTTCCTTTGGCTGGTACGTCGGTTGGGTGAGATTATATATTGTACAAAGAAGCCACACGGTGATCTTTCCTTGACAGACGGGGTCCACTCCAAAGTAAAACGCTGGAGCGCTATGAACGCTCTATTTCTTGGGAGCTTAGTAACTAGAGTGATATACATGCAAGTTTTATGCAAATGTGTGCAAATAATGTGTATTACCTTCATGTCTTGTCGTCACTTATTCACATACGATAATGCCCTCGCTGCGGAACTTGAAGCATGTAGAGAGGGGATTTCGTTTGCTTTGGAGTGGAGTACGCTTCCGTTTATCCTTGAGACGGACAATGTTGAAGCTGCTACGATAATCTCCAATCCCTCATGGAATAGATCACAACATGCCGGCATTATCCAGGAGATTGCCTCCACTATGAGAGGAGGACGAGAGATACTGGTTAAATCTATTAGGAGAGGATGCAACCTTGTTAGCCACCACTTAGCTCAGTTGGGTAGATGTGAGATGAAGACAAACGTATGGTTACGGTCCGGCACTGAAAGGGTTGTAAACTTGTGTGAACTGGATTGCAGCGGTCCAGGTTAATTAATATACAACCCTTCCCCGCAAAAAAAATGTTGTTATAAGTAACAGTACTATATGACCGTTCTTGCGGTCCAGGCTTGGGATTTTGTTGGTCGGGCTTTTTGAAACCCGGCCCGGCCCGGAGAATGCCCAAGTTTAATCTGGTGGTCCTTGCAAGTTCATGAAGTTTGAAGACATGGCGTGTGCATTTCTTTGACATTCATCACAAAATAACTTAAACTTACATTCAACATGCTGGAAAAAATGAAGATCTTTGGATGGAGAGTTGCTACATGTAGCGATGGCCACTAAAAAGAACAAATGCAAACGTACATTAGTGTATGATAGTGTTTGTGAATTTGTGGTACCAGGGATGCAGGGCCCTAAGATACGCCATGAGGGAAGTATGGGATCTACCATAGGAAAAGAATTTTTGGAACACCGGTAGTGATTGGCTGCAAGTACTGCTGGACAAATGCAATGATAATACGAAAGTTAAGCTCCTGCTGCTGTTGTGGAGGGCCTATTTTTGTGAGACAAATGCATACACAGCAACGGCAAAGAGACGACAGTAAACTTCTTGGCAAGGTATGAGGAGGAAATCAGTATGTTGGCACTGAGCTCGGAAAGTGATAGAGGCAAAAGGTTTGGTCCTTAACTGAAGACAAATCGAGAAACCAAGCTCTGTGAGTGACCTGGTAGGAATCGCCTCCCCTTGGAGCGAGCGGTCAGAACATCGGCTTCCTTCCTGGTTACACGGACCGCCGGCGTCGAAAGCTCTCTGTCCTAACAGCCGGCGCCTCTGCCGACTCAAATTGTATAGATCACAAATTCCCGATGGTCATGGACTCGCTTGCTTGATTTGCTTCCGTGGGAGATACTGAGATGGAGTCAGTTACGTGTGTTGGAATAAACCACGGCGTCCAGTCCGGCCCAAGCTTGAAACCATCACCGAATAGGTTTAGTACTAGGCTAGCTTTCTGTGCTATAGTATATACTACGTGCACGAGTAGATCTCCACTTGTAAACTCAGATTGATTCTGTTGACATCCGACCGGTGCAAGGAAAGTATACTCGCGGCTGCGTCGTATGGTCAGGACTAGTGGACTACCCCAACAAGTTGAACGACCCCGCCTTCGATCCGACTATATTTTCCCTCCAAATCCGAGTCTGTACGTGACTACGTACGTGCCGTGTATAAAACAAGGAAGGAAGAGCCCGCGTTGCAAGAAATTATCCGACCATGGACGACGAGACGACGGCAGCGGCGACACGCTATGTGCCGCACGAGCTCGTCATGCAGGTCCTGCATCGTCTCCCTGTCAAGTCGCTGATGCGGTTCACCTGCGTCTGCAAGGCGTGGCACGACACCATCACCCGCGACCAGTCGTTCCAGCGCCAGCACCTCTGCCTCCAACAGACGTGCATGCTCATCGCGCCGTGGATAAGAACCAACTACGGCGGCCATCCTTATGAAAGAAAGCTTAAGGTCACCACACCGGGCTTATACCGGTGGGAGATGAGCCAGGACGCCGCGACTCTCGTTCTAGCCATGGACTCCTTCCCTGTGGTGGAAGCCGGCAGAAGGCACAATTTGGCGCACTGTGACGGTCTTGTGCTGGTGTCCATGGACGACACCGTGTGGGTTCTCAATCCAGCTACTCGCCACGTCCTGCTTCTGCCTCAGAGCTGCATAACCCCGCGTGGGCTTCGTAGGTGCTTTGATGGGGCGCTGGGTCTTGGGCATGACCCTCATTCCAACACATACAAGGTTGCCCGTTTCTATTACCCCTCTGTGGACAGGCTCGAGAGAGGTGGTTACCACTACACCCTTGGGATGGAGGTGTTCACCATCGGGAGAGATCAGCATTGGCGTGAGACGGCAGCGCCACCTCCGTACCCTATCATGGCAGGTCGAACAGCGACCTTCTTCAAAGGATCATTGCTCTGGACAATCGATGAGTCGCTGTTGCTCCCGGGGGATGTTGTACCTGCCCGAGGTTTCCTTCGCTTCAGCTTGAATGATGAGTCTTTCAGTGTCATACCGGCGCCTCCTGGGTGCCCCGATCTTCGATACGCGACGTCCAACTTGGCTGAGTTGCGCGGGGAGCTATGCGTTGCTCATGAAGGGCCCAAACACAAATCTTTCAGGTCGGCTTGTATATGGGTTTGCAATGATGTGGATGGTTCGAATCCACCACAATGGGTTCAACGTCATGTCATGAACGTCCCACGTTGTATACATCTGGTAGCTACGTCTAATGACGATATATTGTTCCTAGGAGGATCTTACAATCTCATGTGCTCTGATAGCCAAAGTACATTGGGTGTTAGGCATGTGGCTATCATGCATGACTTAGCATATCACCATCCTAACACAAACACGCTTGTTAAGTACACATCAGAAATTGTCTATGACTATGGTGTAATCCCCTACGTTCCAAGCCTGGTGTCAATCTAGTTGGACGCTAGAAAATGAGGTACAATTGCATTTGTGTGGCAAGGCAATATATAGCAGACGATGAGTACCAATTTTTCAAGTGCTGACGGTGGCATCAGTTTATAATCATTGTAACCTTTTTGCACTCCTTTTTCATTAGTTTTCATAGACGGTGTTAGTGTATTTGTTGTTTCGGCCGCTTGTTATGGTATTTACCGTTTTCCTCTGCGCTCTACTTGTATGGAAGAGTTAACTGAACAAAACATCAAATCTTGAGAACATCATGTCACAAAGCTACGACTTTAAGAGAACTGAGCAAAGTGTTTGGCAACCTCTGCCAGTGATTCCGGTCAAAGGGTTGCGAAGCTGGAGCATCATAGGTGAAGTAGTCGATCACGCAAAGAAACAGAAAGTAAATTACACAGAGAAGTAGGGGTAGAGCTCTTTTTATTAATCATTGATCAATTGTACATACAAAGTGAGGGTAGATTATGATAGCAAAAAGCACCATCAACTGTCATTAATTAAAGGGAGGGTAGCATGTCATTGCTACGATATGAGCAACCCTTTTAGCTTAAATAAAGCATCATTAAAAATCTCCTTTGTCCTTGATCTTCTAATTTACTAAGGGCCAAATGCATTTTTGCCCTTAGTCAAAACCACCCTACAGGTTTTGTCCTTACTTTTCGGCTCTGCCCAGTTTTGCCCTTAGATTTGTCTCTGAGGTCGTTTGAGTGCCCTTTGACAAATACTTTGAAAATTCATAGAAAATTCATATGAACTCATAGAAATCCAAATAAGATATCAAAATGTTCAAAATACATGATCTTTGTGTGCATGTCATTTGCATTCAGTAAAAGGTATTGTTTATAACTACCCAAGCTTATTACACTGTTATCAGGAAAAAAAGTATGGTTTAAACTACCCGAGGTTATTAATGTCTTATGACCTCGGATAGTTTAAACAATATTTTTTCCTGAATGCAGATGGCATGCACATAAAGGCAATATTTTTGTGAACATTTTAATATCTTATTTGCATTTCTATGAGTTCATATGACTTTGTTATGAATTTTTTAAGTATTGGTCAAATTGTCAAAGGGCACAAGGACGACCTCATAGACAAATCTAAGGGTAAATCTGAATAGAGACGAAAAGTAAGAACAAAACCCATGGGATGACACAACTAGGGGGAAAAGTGTAATTGTCCCATTTTCTTAACAAGTACAAGTTCAGAAAGATTTGCATTTCATGAAGAAAAACAACTAGAAGAGAGCCCCACCACCATGCAAAAATAAGCAGATAGGCAAAACTTCCTAAAACCAAACACAAAATTAAGCAGAGGGCCAAAGTGTGGTTTTTGATAGGTCGAGCTCCATGGTACCCTATATCATGACCGTCCAGCATGGACTCTAGTTCCATGGGGATATGTGCAGAGATTTAAAAAACCGCAGCTTTGTCCGGGTGGTCAATGCTTTTGTCCAGCAACGTGTTGTCTCCCCATGTTGTTCTCTCTCTGTCTCTTAAAAATTGTGTGCTCTCTCTCCTTCCTTCTCTTTGCTCTCTCTCTCTCTCTCTCTCTCTCTATATATATATATATATATGTATATATATATATATATATATCCCCCCACTTTATCTCCCCTTGCTTTTTTTCCTCTCTTTAGACTCTGCTTTCTCTTATGGACGAAATAGACACACACTCTCCCCACAAAAAAGAAGAAAAAAGAAATAGAAATAGATGCACTCTCCTCTCTCCTTCTCTCTTCCAACCTCTCTCTCTCATACGAAGGATATTGTCATTCTCTCTCCACCATTTATCCTCTCATCTCTCTCTCCCTCCTTCCTGTTTCCGCCCTCTCTCGCAGCTTCTTTCTCCAGCAGGTCAGGAAGCATGCATTCTGGATGGAGCATGCGTCCTATTGTGCGGGGTAGCTCGTGACAGAGTTGGTCCCATGTCCTGCCTCCTACGTACTATAAGGGCATGGCCAATGCATAGCCCCATGGTGATGCCTCGCATGTCATGTAGGATCGAACGTCAGGAAAAGTAGGTTCGGATGGGGAAGCGGGATCCTCTGCAGGAGGCGGGTGCTTGGAGAGAAAAACTATGGTCCAGTGAAAAAACTGAAAAAGTTGGAATGAAGAGTAGATATGCATGTGTACTAAAGTCTTTATTTTCTATTCCTTGATGAGACCCACTAGTGATAGTTGCATTGGGGAGAAAAAAAATCAATGTAGGTGCCTCAAACTATTTTGTTCATGGGGCATCTGTATCCATATGCCATCATAGTTCATACCCTAAGAGAGTGACAGATAGGGTGAGAGAGAGCCAGAGAAGAAATTTGACTCACTAAAAAAATCTGTAATGCTCTAGGTTGCACAGATTACGAAACAAACCGACGGACCGGATAGAGGATACCATGAAGCTCGACCTACAATAAAACTTTGCGCAAAGGGCTAGCATGCTGCTTTCAAGCATCGACTCTCTGTATTATGCTGACATGTTGGCAATGCAGTGCTACTGCTCAAACCTGATGTGCAGGAAGCTGAAGCCACTGTCCAACTGCTCAAAGTGTTTGGGAACGCAAGAGAACATCTCAGCCGTGATTGGAATACTTGCTTGCTTCGTCAAGGTATTTCGAGTGACATACTTGGGCTTGCCTCTATCATTCACCCGTTTTCCCAAATCAGCGCTCCAACCACTCATTTACATAGGGCTCGCGGGCTAGTTTTGATCCACTCAACTCTCATTGCAACATCCATCTACCTCATGCTCATTCTTGACCTGCCGGCTTGGTTCCTCTCATGTATTGACAAAACCAGACGTGGATTCTTTTGGTGTGGCCACGAGGAAGCTAAAGGTGGCAATTGCCTTGTGAATTGGAAGTTAGTGTGCACTCCCAAGGTATATGCATGGTCAACTGGGAATTCACAACCTGATCTTCTGAACCAAGCCCTGCTCCTCAAATGGCGATGGTATGAAAAACAGCAGATGGGAAACCTTGGCATGCAAGGTCACAGACATCGACCTGCCTATGGATGCTGAAGGAGTTTTTGCAGCTATTGCATTGCTCTCTTAGTAATGGTGACATGTTGCATTTCTAGATCGATCAGGGGATCATCGGTTACAGGTTGAGGCAGCTTCCACCGTCTCTGATGAAATTTGTCAAGCCTGCAGCCATGCAAAGAACAATTGCCGAAGCCCTGCCCAATGGGAACTGTCTAGCCAGAACCTGGTGAACTTGCCAGACGAGTTTCATTGGAAGCAGTCCCGTGTGGTCGTGAGTGATTACCCTGTGCTGCTGAACGTGTACTGGTGGACTGGCGAGAGGACTCCTGTGGATTTCATTGACGTGTAACCTAGATAGCATATTCCTGTGGATTGCACTAACGTGTCAGTGCTATTGTAACACCATGTAAAAACTCGCTTCTTTCTTAATGTCAAAAGCACGCACACCCTTTTGCGTGTGCTTGAAAAAAAATGTTGTTAACTAGCCAAAGTATATATATTCATGAGATTCTGCGGGAATCTATCTTACAACAAGAGCACGGGCGGAGTAGCGCTGAAAAAGTGCAAAAATTATGACAACGACACATCTCTCTAGCTGTTGAACCCCCAAACAGTCAAGACAAGTAACAAACCATAAAAATTAACATTCAGCAGTGACCCAGTGACCTCATTGTCACCCGCTATCAACTACTCCCAAGAAATCACCATCCATCTGCCTTCTACCTTCTTATGTTCTTTGTGCATTTTTCTTGCAGTAAAAGATCTCCATTTTCCTCCGCTCACGAAGGCAAGTCAAAACCCATCTAGCGAAACGACCCCCGCGTCGCCTGGGAGGCGACTCGGGGGAACCCTAGCCCGCCGCGCCGCCACCCCCTCTCCCCGGCTCCCCTGCCGCGCCGCCGCCGGAGGAAACCGCCGGGCGAAGCCCGCGCGGCGGACGGCGGCGGCGGGGCTTCCCGC